TGATGAGTAATTGTTCAAGTTCAGACAGGTTATTACCTGTCTGAACTTGAACAATTACTCATCAGAAAGTTTCGCACTTTCTCGCACCGCACTCATCAGAAGATTTCTCTCAAAATCGTTCAATACTGTTTATGCATCAGTAAGTCAAGCCAGTGACTAAAATATCAGCTTCACATCGTTTCTTTTAGTAGGATGAAAATAATCGTATTTAATTTGTGAACAAATTATATACAGAAAGCGATCAAAGAACAATCTTTCCACACAGCGCGAGTTTATCTGGACACTTGCCAAACTCGTTATGAAATCAATGACGCACGTTACTGCAGAACGAAGCTCTTACTGTATTTACATCATCGTGTTTGCATTGGTGAAAGCAGAGAGAGTGCAGAAACTGCTTTGCAATGATAAGATCTTCATTCTCGCGATCAACACTGTCATCTGCTCAATGCTCATCACGGCAACATTTTATGTGATGGGAATAGATCTAAATACTTTAAAAACATCTCACGATTCGTTAATCTCGATAGCTGTTATAGTAAAAACGTATAATAGCAGTAGTAAAAGTATTCGGGAGAGAGTTTCACATGTAATGCGTAGCTCTTTCATATGCAAGCATGTCAGCCAATCACAGCAGTGGCCGCGGTTACACTGAATCCCACAGCAGACACGCCCCTTCAAACAGAGTGTTCAAATCAGAGGCTAAAAGCAGGCTAGGAAAAATGCCATTTATTTCTAAATTATGATTATTTTTTATCTAAAAAACATACTAACATTATAAGGGTAACCCAGGAAACATTATAAAAAAATAAAAATAAACATTCTAGGGCACCTTTAAGACCTGTAAGTAAATGCCGGCTCACTGTACGACGTAGGACTACCGTTTAGGAGCCACGACCACAGAAATCGCCACGATTGGTCATCTTTCGTCTGGGACAGACCAAAATTATACAATGTGTAACACACTAAAACCACTCAAAAGACCTTAGCAATGACATAGCAACACCCTGGTACCACCCACACCTTTTTTCACACGTTGTGGATGTGACCTTTTTTATGACTGGTTAACTCAACTCAATATATTTTCCTAGCAACACCTTGGGACACTTAGCACATTTACCATTCACTGTACATTACATTTGCAACATCTACTCATCCAGTGTGATCTTTTAATCCCTCACCACAGCTTAAATCCCTCATATCACTGTTGGGCAGATTCCTATTTTACCAAAATATTCCAGAATACAATACTTCATGACATATTTTGATTGACAATTTAATTAGTGCCATAATTGCAATAATACATGTTACTTTATTTGTTAGGGATGCCAGACTGATGAGATGGGCTTTCCAAGCCGAGTCTCCTCCCAAGGTTTCTTCCAATCTACTGTAACATCTCAAGTAATCAGTTTTCACTGTTGTCTTTGGCCAGTTTAATGGGAAATTATGAATCATGATCCACACTACAAATACTTTTGAATGGAGTTGATGGGTTATTAGGTTATATGGAAAAAAGCAATGCCTGAGGATGTAGCTCTGTTACACACTGTTAATCACATCATTTAAAGCCGAGGGTCCAATCCTGCTAGTGAAGGGTGAATATCTTGCGGAGGTTAGCACTAACTTGCCCTAAACACACTAAGTTCCAAGGAGTACAGCACATTGCATTACCTTTTTTCAGAAGAATCTGATCATCTGGGTTTCGATGATGATTCACAATGTCTGTATGTGCCATCCTTAAAAAAAGTTTGTAATTGTTATAATCACTCTTTTGTCAGTGCTAAGGTGTGTACAGATATAATTACTTGTGTAGCAGTGCAGGAAAGGTGTATGTGAAAGTAGAGTGGTAAAAAACAATCTCAGCATTAGAGTGATTAGGGTCATATGGCCGAGGTTAACTGCCAAACATCTATCCAGTAAACAATATGACTATAAAAAAACAAACTCAATTGAACCCACGTGATCAGAAATACAGGTGTATTTTTGTTTGTTTGTTTGTTTGCCTTTAAAAAAAAATTAGCATAGCAGTTAATCTCAAACTAGTTGTTGTCAACCTTTGTTCTCAACCTTGAAGCCCCCCCGTTGTCCATAGCAATATTCGAAGGCCCCATGGCATGACCTTTTCACTTGTTTGTGATTTACTGGATGAGACTTAAGGATAAGGATACTATTTTACTCACAATTTCTAACTGATAAAATTCTTTGGCATAACTACAAAATATTTTATTCATAAAGTGTATAAAAATGCCCATGGGGTTTTACAATTTTACTATGACTTTTCTAGGTCTAGGAATCATGCTTTTAAATTTCCTCAAAGCACAAATAAACAATTGTTATGCAATTTTTGGGTTATTGCCTAAAAAAATGCAAGGTGGACACACAAAGATGCGCATCAATTCTAAAAAAAACTTAAGTTCTCAATTGAGGAGCATAATTGTTTTATTCGATTAGCGCATGCACAAAAACTATGATGGAAATTCACCCAATAATTCCCTTGATCCACAACAAAAAACTTTGCATCAACAGAGGATGTGATTGTATAACTGGACTAACCAGCAGGCCAAAGTCTTATCATCAAAATGGTTTGGATAAAATTACCTCCCAGAATGTGTCAGGTTACGTATGTAAACCCGAGACGCTGCGTCATGGCTTTCATGCTATGGGAACGCTTCCGCGTGAGCCAGTGTCCGAAGCAGGTCTACAAACACCAATATGATTGGCTGAACGTATGGATGTGGTGACGTAGCGCATCACAAATTTCATAAATAATGAAATTTACGCCAAATCAACCTGCGAACTATGACCGAAGTTGAGAAATGGGCCAATCAGAGATTGAAGAGAGATAGATGATTATAATGCTTACATTCATCCCCCTCAAGGACTGACCTTGCTTGCTTCTTATCCATGCACATACTGCACATTTGATGCGAGTCATTCGCCGCAATAAAGCGGGGGCATGGCGTCACGCTTTCTGACATGATACAGACTAACTTTATATATCTTTCACACACAGACTGGATTGAAAGCAGACAGGCGCTCAATAAACATATTGCTTCTGAAGACAAAGAAGCTGTGTGACGCGCATTTTTTGGCATCTATGGACTCGGTGATGTGCTACGCTACATCAACATCCATCACATTGCCATGTCTGGACACATATACCCCGAACCTTGTTTACTCGGGATATGTCAGTTCCAAAAATGTGTCCGGGTCTCTGTTCAGTCAACCCAGAGTATCCCTGCGTTTCAATGTCCATACTATCCATCCTAAACAGTATGTGAGATTTAAAATAAGTGTGTCCCAAAGCATAGTATGTTGAAAAGAGTATGCCAGAAGTCCCCGGATGGTCTACTATTTCCGGTCAACTTTCGAAGTGTGGATCCGAAGTGCGGATGGTAGTGCTGCCACTAACGACTAATTTTCTAACGACTAATCTTTCGACTAATTTTTCGATTAGTCGACTAATCTAAACGACTAATAAAAAAAAATCAAGTTTTTATTTCGTTGTGTCCATTTTATTTTGAACTCAACTGAAGGGCCAAAACATAAAATGTCACCTGTTCAAAAACATTATGTATTAACAATCTAAGCATTAAGTATCTGCATTTCCATTAGGCTATACCATATTAGTCAGAGTCCTAATCTAATCCTCTAATAACAAACATGTATGTATTACTTAAATTAGCTCTTTGTTCTGCCTTAAAAAATGTACAGTAAGCTAATAATGATTAATTTATGTACATTTCTGAAAAGCATAACTGATAACATCACTCTGAATAGTAAAGTAGATGCAATGCATTTTCTGTGAAAAGCGCTATACAAATAAATTGGAATTGAATTGAAAGAGTCTGGACTAGCCCACTATGAGTCGCGCTGAAAGCAGGCAGGCACGCACGCAGTTATGTAGCTCGCGTTTACACTTGCGTGCATGGCGGGCCCGTGCCGCCGTTCGTGTGAATGTGAAAGCAACACGGACTCGGGAGCGCTTGTTCAGGAAGTTAAGTAACCTTATGCCCATGCGTTTTAGCTGATTATGATGCATTGTTGATGATTTATCTTGGATACGCGAGAGTTGAGTCTGCAGTGTATTCGCGCATTGCGCGTGCAATCAGGGCAACACATTTGGAAATCCACTGTCTCCTCAAAAGAGTCCGTTTGAAAAACACAATATATTGACCCGCGTTCTGTTTTCTATCATGCGCCGTGCACGTTTGCGATGGCATAAGATGCACGCAAACTCAACAGGGTTCGATAGAGTTGAGTGTGAAACCAGACCAACGCTGCGGGGGGCGCCGGGAACAATCGCGCTCGGACTCGGACCGCAGCAAACGAGCCCACTGTGAAAGCTCCGTCACCTGCCTCCGCATTTTTTCATATCAAAGCAGTGAAGGCCGGCGGGAACGTGAAGGAAAATGATAGCAGATAAACCAGCAGGGCGCGCACGGCGCACAGACTGGTGTGTGGAGGTGAATTACAGTGAGCCGTTTGTGACGGGAGACCAAAAATAAATAGGGGTCAATAGTAAAACGACACGTCGACTAAAAAAATTGCCGTCGACTAATTTGCACGGTCGATTACGTTGACTAAGTCGACTAATCGCGGCAGCACTAGCGGATGGTCTACTATTTCCGGTCGATTTTCGAAGTGTGGATCCGAAGTGCGGATGGTCTACTATTTCCGGTCGATTTTCGAAGTGTGGATCCGTGCTCACTATAAAGGCTAATATTGTAGGAGGAACTACAAACACGAGTAAAAAGTGTTAAAAAACTACAAAACATGGCGGATATGCACGGATATCTGCACACACATTTAAACAGTGGCTTACTTCCAAAAGCACTGCTTATTTTCTCTTGGCAGATGGCAAGCCAAGCAACCTGTTTGTCCTCTTTTAGCTGAAGGTAAAAATGAGGTGGAACGTCACTGCCTTTTTTCTGCTGAATAGCCACTCCCAGGCTTCTGCCTCAAGGGCTTTTGTGTTGGCAGATGACTCATTGTATTCAAAGACACTCTTTACACACACACACACATAAGCACACGAACATCCCCATAGACACTCTAAATTGCACAAACGGACACAAAAGGTGTGAGATGGCTGTCTAGCTTTACACTTAAGCCAAGTAAAGGTGATTGCCACAGGTGCTGATCTGACATTTTGAGAGCGCCGGCCAACAGGAGTGCAGCAACATGACGGGCACCTTTTTCCTGTTTCTACTTGCAGTGAGTAAACCTGAGTCAACTTTAATCATGATAATCAGCTGTAATGAATGATTAACATCATACTTAATCGTTTTATTTGATAGTGGTGACTACTGGACTTAATCTAATCTTTTTTAAAAGTCATTATTTCTTCTCTTATTGATAAAGTTTTGAGCACTGTGTAATTCGAGCTTTTACAAATCTCACATATAATAAACCAGATAAATAATATGACTTTACAAATATGACAAGGTATTAGAGTAATTGGTAACACTTTTTTTTGAGGGTCCCTTTTGAACATTCTGATGAATATAAGTAATTTTACTCCATGTCAACTGACTCTCATTAGAGTATTAGTAGACTGTCTGCTTAACTCTTTATTGTGATGATCCTCCAACAGACAATCTACTGACTATAAGTAACTTTGCATCGAAATTCACATTGTGATCTGTGTGAAATATAATATTGGTGATCCAAAAGGTAGTATTTCGTGCTTTAGTAGCCTACAGCATGCAGCAGTTAAAGTGTGTCATAAAAGTGTCATAAACATATTAAAGAGAAACTAAATTATGTACAGTATGAAACACAGATTAATCCGTAGTTTATAAAACACATTTGTTGTTCTTATCAAGTGACATTTCTATAGTGACAGATGACATTCTTAGGTGATTTGTTTTACTGTGATGTTGCTTTCATGTGTTTTGCATACTGTAGATAGTTAGTGTAGTGTAAGTCTTTCTTTGAGTGGTTAGTTTTTATGAATTAGCAACCATACGTTTTTCTAAAGACTTCTATAGTTCGTCTTTAGCAGAAAGTATAAACAATAGTATTTAATCTGAGGGAAGCAGAGTGGTGTTGTTGTCTTGCATGCACAAACACCATTCTCATTGTGTCACCTATGTGTAAAGGGTTAGTTCACCCCAAAATGAGTCTGTAATTACTCACCCTCGTGTTGTTCCAACCCCGTAAGACTTTCGTTCATCTTCGGAACACAAATTAAGATATTTTTGATTAAATCTGAGAGCTGGATCACTCATCCATAGGCTTCTAAGGGATCGAAACTGGCCGGCCCAGAAAAGTTATGAAAAACATCTTTAAAATAGTCAGAGTGACTACAGTGGCTCAATCTTAAGTTTATCAAGCGACGAGAATACTTTTTGTGCGCAAAAAAACAAACAAAAATAACGACTTTATTCATTTCCTTCTCTGTGGGCCTCTAGATTTCACATAGTGAAACTGCGCAGCGCTTCTGTGTTGTACGCCAGAGTTGGCCAATAGTGAGCCTACGTGTGACGTACAACACAGAAGCGCTGCGCAGTTTCACTACGTGAAATCTCGAGGCCGCAAAAGAACTTAAGCTTCAAATTTACTAAAACTTCAGATTTAAATTTTACTGTGAGATGGACAAATCACTGAGTATCTGACATTAGTGCGGGTTCTCTAGTAAAGTGCAGATATAATGTATAACCAAAGGCTCCACCATAACAAGAATAGCAATGTATACGTGAAACATTTAAAATTATTTACAAGTCATTACTTTTACAATTCATTTGAATGAAATTTCAAAAAGGTATTGATACGGATATTTTTTCCTAGTAATCTATGAGTCTGCAGTTACATTGCGCGTATTTTAACATGCCATATTTTTGTCCCATGCTATGGTTATTATCACTACGTCAATTGCAATTTCGAGAGTGAATCACGCATTTATATGTGGATGTCACTTCCAAAACTTTGCAGCTTGTAAGGTCCATTATTTACCTGATTTGTTATGGTTTTGATATGTGAGATTTCTAAAAGCTCCAATTTAAATGAATCAAATCCAGTTCAGTCAAAGTGAATCAAAAACGGAATGAGCTGCAAGTGACCTCAGTGCTTTTGGTGTTCACAATGTAAGTGGAACATCATACGAACCAATCTGGCAAACTAATGAACCGGGACATCAGCCCATCAACCATATTGGGGGGTCTGAGACCATTTGGGGTGTTCACATATTGACGTTATATCGGCCTGACACTAACCTGAGTCAAAGTCACCCAAAACAAGTACATACTGTATTGCCATAATTTTTCAATCACATTATGTACAACAAAATTGGTAATGCTTTTTTGATGACAACAGCCACATTTGAACCATGTATAAATGTTAAACAATGGGTGTGAGCATTTTCTTTATAATGCCACCTATGTGAGTAAGGCATTTGGCATGAGGTTGTTTATGTATTGTTGTTTCTCGTGTTGGTCCTGATTCTCAGACTTAAAACAAGCTAGACAACGTGACACAGTATTAAAAGAAAACAGAAAAAAGTAATCTCATTTGAATCAGACAAACAATTCTTTTTATTTCTTTTTTTGGACATAGAACGGTTAAGTGGATGTTAACAGTGTATTATGTAAAAATATTTACACACCAATAAAACCTCAGACATTGAGAGGGATGTTCTATCACTATTGATTGTATGTTTTTCACTTAGTATTATCCTGTTTTTTTTTTTGTCTATTCATCAGCTTGTTGAAGTGACCGCTTCCAGCAAAAATGATGCCGGCAATCGTGAAAAGCGGGTAGGTAATCTAAAAAAACTAATTCGAAAGTTATGTCTCAGCTTACTGTCTTGACACAACCTTAAAACAACTAATTCCCACCTGTCGCCAGACCATAAAACAAGACTTCGTTTAGAATAGAATACATATGTATTACATCATGTAACATTACTACAGAGACGTATACAGAAACGTAGAGCTAGAAATATGTATTTTGGAAAGACACATTCAAACTGGAGATTTAGAAAATCAGACAAAATCATCAGACTTCATCCATAATGTCTTCCCATATTGGGTCCAATGAGTTATACAAGGTCACTCAGGATCTGTTGAGCTTTATGTTTTCCTAATAATTTAAAGTAATTGCCCTGTACAAAAACAAACACATATTTTCAACCATCAAAAGAATGGAATTTTATTTAAATGTTTTTACATGTATTTTTAATTTCCTTATTATTATTATTATTTTATTATTATTGTTATTACTATGTAGCATACAATTTTAGTTAAGTCTACTTGCCTTTTAAGTTATCTGTCCTTAAATATTTAAGTTAATTCAATGGGAAGATCACATTAGGCGAACTTAGTAAAACAAGTTTTGTTAGGCACTATTACTAAATTAAAATGGGGGAATGCGTCTCCTCAATTAATATGAGTAGACTAGACTTATTAAGCTTTACAGTGCAAAATCAGAAAGGAAACTGATCATCACTCAATATATCTCTTTCTATCTCAAAGGAAGCTGTTCTTATTCGTTCAAAGAGAAGATGGGTTCTGTCCACCGTTGATCTTGAGGAGAACAGGCCTGGACCGTATCCAATTGAGCTAACACAGGTAACTTTACACAGTCACTGATTCCAGTGTGGTGAGTTCAGCCTGTTCACGAAAACGTAAAGACCTCATGAAATCGCTTGATGATAGCAGTTTTCTTTTCTGTGCTACCATGCATGTTGGAGGGTTTGGGTAAGACATTTAGTCCTTGGGCCAAGACCCAAAATTTCACGTATTGGTACCACCTGGGGAGTTGCGATTTTTTACATCCTATGCATCCCTAGATACTGTTTTGACATGATAACGCTTGCCAACTGGCAGCTTAGTAGTGGTTATGACCGCTTGAAGTGACTGACCCCTGTAAGCGGAAAAAATGGCAAAAGTACCTTCCATGGACATAATCTGGTTCATCCAGTTGATAATTCATCAAGTGGTTCATTCATCACAAATAAAGTAGGTTCCAAATTAGTGAAATAATGAGATAAAGGCAATAATTCCAAAATAAATGGCTAAAAATGGCTAAATTTGGGAGTTTTAGCATGTCAACCAGTAATACCCCAATATCATGAAATAGTCTAGTAGCCAACTGTGAACCTGGAAATGTTGAGTACACCAAAGTTGTATTGCAGAAATGTGAAGTATGGGTCCCCAGCATACAGAAACTGCCGGATGCTAATTTGCATATGTTGACCAATTTGCATGATTAGCATAATTAGCATTATTAGCTTAATCGTCCATTTTCACCAGATATTTTGCACTGTATGGTCAATTTCTACAATATCTGGGATGCTGAAATGATGGAACTGATCAGGAAGATTATTAACCCTCTGGGGACCAAGAACGCACCCGTGCGTTTTGGCAGATTTTTTTTCACATAGCAGAAAAATAGACTTAAAGGGTAACTAAACACTAAACCAACTTTTTTTAATTAATGATCTGTAAGACTGGGGCTTTATTAGTGCTGTTCATTGATTCGAGCAACTTTTTTTGACATTTGGGTATAAAGTGTTTTAATTCTACAATATATGGTGTAAAAACGTCTGAGTGCTGCCCTCTTCAGGTTGAACGGTGGCTACTGCAGTTGAATTTTCTTATTGGATGTTTGCGGTAGTTCGTGACAGTAGCGGTGAGAGCTGACGTAAGCAGGTTTCAGCTTACCACGCCCTCGGTACGAGCTACCACGTCCATGGCAGTATAAAAACGTCTCAGGTTACGTATGTAACCCTGGTTCCCTGAGAGGGAACGAGACGCTGCGTTTGAGACGCGGTGGGAACGCTCTGCGTGATTACGTCGTGAAGCACATGTAAAATCAGTCCAATGGAAGCCCGAAACGTCATGGGTGACGTCATAGACCAGGAAACTATAAAGCACCCCTGAAATCAGACCGCGCCAGCTTCTGAAAAAACCTGAAGCAAGTCGATCAGAGCATGCAGGAAGTATGGCAGGCAAACGCAGCGTCTCGTTCCCTCTCAGGGAACCAGGGTTACATACGTAACGTACGTCCCTTTCAAGGGAACTCGAGCTGCGTTTGAGACGCGGTGGGAACCCCATACCCACTACGCCATAGTGACAAATGCCCGTTCTGTGTGAAGTCCTTGCCGCACACTAAGAAGCAAGCAACCTCGCCCCTGGAGTGGAGAAGTCAAGGTCATAAAACCTGACAAATGTATGCGGAAACCCCCGAAATTAAGGCCGTAGAGGCCGCCATACTCCTAGTAGAATGGGCCCGTACAGCCATAGGTGAAGGCTGACCGGCCGCTTCATATGCTAATGAAATAGCCTCGACTATCCATTTGCTTATAACCTGTTTAGATGCAGGGCACCTTCTTCTAAGTGACCCAAAACATACAAATAATTGCTCTGACTTACGCCACAGGGCAGCTCTGTGAACGTAGGCATCCAATGCCCGAACAGGACATAACAGGTTCAGTTGTTCCTGATCTGGGGTATTAAAAGGTGGAGGATAAAAGGCCTGCAGCACTATTGGGCCCCCAACATTAACTGGGACCTTAGGAATATAACCCGGTCTAGGGTATAGAAATGCTTTCACCATACCAGGTGCAAATTCCAGACATGAAGGAGCAACCGACAGGGCATGCAAATCTCCAATTCTCTTGACAGATGAAATAGCAAGGAGAAATAAAGCTTAAAAGTGAGGAATTTTTCTGAAACCTCTTCAATAGGCTCAAAGGGAGCCAGAGCCAGACCCTCAAGTACAATGGCTAAATCCCAAGCCGGTGCTCTAGAGTGCAGTGCAGGTCTCAACCTCAATGTACCACGGAGAAAACGAGTAATCAGAAGATCTCTCCCAATAGAAGTACCCCCCAGGGGGGTATGATAGGCCGATATAGCCGCCACATAAATTTTTAAAGTGGAAGGAGATAATCCAGCAGAGAAACGGTCTTGCAGAAAATCGAGAACTGAACCAACAGGGCAGTTAACAGGATCTAACTGACGCTCACCACACCAGGTGGAGAATAATTCCCATTTCAGTGCATACAGTCTTCTCGTGGAAGGGGCTCTGGAATAGAGAATGGTCTCAACGACCTTAGTCGAGAGACCGGATTCTATGAGCCTGGCCCCCTCAGAGGCCAGGCCCACAGTTTCCACAACTCCGGTCGAGGGTGAAATATCGTGCCCCCTGCCTGGGACAGCAGGTCCCTCCTGAGCTGAATCTCCATGGGAGAGCCGTCCAGAAGAGACAAAGTCCGAGAACCAAACTCGAGTCGGCCAGTATGGGGCTACTAGTAGCAGATGAGCCCCTTCCCGGCGAACCCTCTCCAGAACCCCAGGGAGCATAGATATCGGGGGAAAAGCGTACAGGTGCAGCCTCGGCCACACCTGCACCATCGCATCCAGTCCGAGAAGAGCTGGCTGCGTGAGGGGGAACCATATAGAGCAATGCGTTGTACAAACGAAGTGAAAGGTCGACTTGACTTTAGTTTGACCAAAGTTCTCCCTAAGAAGCTCCACCACCTCGGGGTGAAGTCTCCAATCCCCTGGGCCTCAGCCCCTGCCTCAACAGGATATCTGCTCTAAAATACGAGACCATCAGTGTGTTGTCCGCCATTCGCCGAGCAACCTCTCATGATCGCCCCCACTTGTGAGGGAAGCGTCCGTCGATAGCAATATGCGTCGACAAGAAGCCCCCAACACTGGGCCTGGGCGAGGAACCAAGGTTCTTCCACATGACCGGGGCACGAAGGCATAGCCGCGTGACCTTGATCATGCGAAAACGTATTTCTCCTCGGAGAAAACCCCTTGGGTCCTGAGCCACCACTGCAGGGGTCTCATGAACAGAAGGCCAAAAGTAATACGTTGGACGCAGCTGCCATGAGACCCACCAGTCTGAAACTGTTTCACAGTGAGTGACTGGCCTAGATATACCCCATTACGGCTGTAAGAATCGCTACACCTAGAAAAGTGGTCCTCAGAGCACACTCTTCTTGGCGTTGAGAGGCAACCCTAACATCCTTAAATGAGACAGAACGACATCTCGATGCCGAACTGCCATAAACTCAGATTGAGCTAGGATCAACCAATCATTGATGTAGTATAATACGCAAATGCCCTGGAGTCTCAGAGGAGCCAGAGCTGCATCCACGCATACTGTAAAGGTGTGGGGTAATGAACCTAGGCCGAATGGGAGAACCCGATAATGGTATGCTTTGCCCCCGAAAGCAAACCTCAGGAGTCTCCCTCATCCTCTTTCGGAAACAATGAAGTAATGGCTGTCTGCTGGGAGGAGGAACCCCTTCTACAGCTCCTTTTGCAGAAGTGTCAGTACTTCCTGCTCCATAACCAAAGCCTGCTCGGGGGCCACCAAGAGAGGAGGACCCCTAGAAATCTGGGTGGATGAGAACCAAACTGAATTCTAAAACCCTTTTCTATAATGTGCAGGACCCACTGAGAAATATGTGGCAGTAGTTTCCACGCTGCCAGAAATTCTACTAGGGGAACCAGTCTCTCAAGACTGGCCTCTGGATTTGGTTGAACAGTCACTACGGCGCCCTGAAGCGGCGAACCGGCAGGGAACAACCGAACTGACCATTCTACGACCCTCCTCGGAGGATCGCATGGGGACGCTGACACCTCGGTGCCCTGAACGGCGAACCGGCAGGGAACAACCGAACTGGCAGCGCTGCAACCCTCCTCAGAGAGTTGCACCCCAGAGAGCGCAGAGGAAAAACGATTTCTCAAAACCGTCCCTTGGTTGAACAGTCACTACGGTGCCCTGAAGCGGCGAACCGGCAGGGAACAACCGAACTGACCGTTCTATGATCCTCCTCGGAGGATCGTATGGGGACGCTGACACCTCGGTGCCCTGAACGGCGAACCGGCAGGGAACAACCGAACTGGCAGCGCTGCGACCCTCCTCAGAGAGTCACACCCCAGAGGTCGCCGAGGAGAAACGATTTCTCAAAACCGTCCCTGCCCCGGAGGAGCCCTCAGAAGCCTGATAGTCTCGTTTTTTGCGACAGGACTTTTTGTTTAAGCTTTATTAGAGATGATGACAGTCCTCAGATCTTGCCTACCTCTAACTAGCTTAGTTCCTACGACCCTCCTCGGAGGATCGTTGGAAAAAGCAGGCACTTCGGCGCCCTGAAACGGCGGACCGGCAGGGAAACCGAACTGACTGCTCTTCTTTTTTCTTATTTGAAGGCTCGTTTGGGGACACTGACACCTTGGTGCCCTGAAACGGCGAACCGGCAGGGAAACCGAACTGGCAGTGCTGCGACCCTCCTCAGAGAGTCGCACCCCAAAGGGCGCTGAGGAGAAACGATGTCTCAAAACCGTCCCTACCCCAGAGGGGATCACCCTTAGAAGCCTGATCGCCTCGGCGTCAGGGCTTCTTCTTTGTCCAAGCTATTTTAGAGATAAAACAGTTTTCAGATCTTGCATGTCTCTAACTGGCTAGACTGCGACCGCCACGCAGGTACCCCTCAATTGCGGAGGAGCCCGAATGGCGACGCTCTGTTTTGCACTTTGTGCTGAGAGGAGCTTAATAGGCCGAGACTGCTCCCGCCCAGCAGTCTCAGGAACATTAGATTGGTGAGGAAGAAACCTCTGGAACACCGCTGAATGGTTTATTTCTTAGTTTTCTTGAAAGCGGAGCGTCCAGAAGAACAGACATAATTATATGTTTATTTTCCTTTATCTTTATATCAGAAAAACTTATATATACATATATATCACGCTGTGGCCACCAGAGGGAAACAACCGAACTGGCAGCACTGCGACCCTCCTCAGAGAGTCGCCCCTCACATTCATCCATGTCCTTATATACTTTACCCACCAGCGCTGCCTAAAAAAAAAAAAAATGAATTATTTAAGATGGCTGGTGGGTAACGTCGGGGTTAATAATGATGACGCCGACTCGGGAGAGAGAAAGCTCGCAAGCGTCTCTTAAACCCGAGGCACTGTCATACTATGATACTTAATACCCAAACTTTACTATAGTTAGACATCTGGGGATTAAACACATAAAATACAAACCGGTTTATTCCACGATCTCGACACCTCAGTGTGGAGATAGGGAAAAAACCACAGTCCCCGACGAGGAGGCTGAGATACAGAGTTTTCCTGTTTTAAGATACAGTTCATCTTACAAACTCTTCTTTATTTTCAATCTCATAATGCTCAGCTGGCCAGTAAATATTTAACTGGCAACAGCACTAGATAAAACCTCCTTATTTTAAAACAAGCTCCTCTTTATTCAGCAGAGTTATGAGCTGACTTATTTATTCATTGAAAACTCAAACATCTGCCTTTTTAAGATTTATATTTGTTTTGTTCTCTTTCTTTTTAAACAAAACACTAACGATACCAATTCCTCGGAACTGGAAATCGCAGCACACTAGATCTGGCATGTGAAAGCTGAGAAAGGGCGGAGCCCGTCCCAACCCACGCTGTCAGATCCGTTTGCGAACCCCAAAATGCTAGCCGTCTCCGTGCCTCGGCAACAGAGAGACCCGCGCGGGGAACGCGAACCGAACTGTCCTCCTCGGAGAACGCCCGGCGGGAGCGGAACGTCCTCACGGACAGCCTCTCGCAATGCTCACAGTCAGCTCCCTCGAGAACTGACTGTTAGCATGCTCCCCTCCCAAACAGCAACAAAAAGCTGATGTGTGTCCCCACCCGTGATGTAACGAGGGCAGGGAACAACACAACGTCTATAATCTTGCTTGCTCGTCATAATGATAGATAGTGATATATATAGGGCTTGACAAACAACAATAAATAGACAAGGACAGATTCACAGAGAGCGCTTGCTGAAGGTTACAGAAGCTGGCGCGGTCTGATTTCAGGGGTGCTTTATAGTTTCCTGGTCTATGACGTCACCCATGACGTTTCGGGCTTCCATTGGACTGATTTTACATGTGCTTCACGACGTAATCACGCAGAGCGTTCCCACCGCGTCTCAAACGCAGCTCAAGTTCCCTTGAAAGGGAACCATCTTGTTTCGTCAAAACCACTGTAGCGAGTCAGGAGTTGGAATTGCGAGTATTGAAAACGATCAGGATAGAGTATCCGTTCATCCCCTCTATGGCTCCGCCCACTTTTCCAGCATTTTTCAAATATTGCCAGTGGGTGGAGTCAGGCTCTGACCAGGGGTTTAGTTACCCTTTACACTACTCCATCATTTCTGGTCATACGAAAGATAAATTAAAAAAAAAAAAGTTAAATGTCTACTTTTTTAATGTGCCCACCTACAATCGAAATAAAATATTGTGCTTTTGTAAAATAAAGAAAGTAAACAGGGTGTGCGGCCTCTCCGTGTCCGTGAACTTTTTTTCTGGAGCACGTCTCTAAACTTAAAAAAAAAACTCAGCTAATACTATTCACCCAGATATGAGCAATATATGTTTATGATCATTTAGGTTTGAACTTTTAAATGATCTAATTTAAAACTAAAATAAATATTCCCTGTTTATGTAATCTATATAAAAAGAGAGAGGTGTCAGCCGTTCTCATTATCGTTCTCGCATCTCATTATTCCGCTAATGTGACACGCCCACGGAGAATGTGATTCAAATGTGATTTATCATTTACACTCGATGTTGTTGCATTAAGCACCAACACTTCAAAATAATTTTATTTGAAACTAGACCTTCTTAGTAATTTTGAAAGAATTACTATAAATTACAGCAACATATTTCAGCCTATTTCAACCTTGTTCACTCATTCACTCACTGCAAAGTTTTGTTGTTGCACTGCATTTCCGAGCGTTTTAGCTTTGTGCCACCTGGCTCCCTTGGATGAGTCCGGGCAGCGATAATTTTTTTTCACAGGATGGTAGGGGAATACTCATGAATATTCATTAGGGAACTAATCCCTGATTGGTCTTAACCCCAGTGACTGGTAGGTTTAGGGGCGGGGTTAGGGGTAGGAAGAATAAAGAAGACATTAAATCTCTGAAGATCTCAGCAGAGGAGGATTAAACAACTCCACTAATAGCATTACCAGTCCAGCTTCACTTATTACTAACCAGACTGACTTTATTTCTGTCAGACTTCTAGAGAAGTTCTTATTGAGAGTTAGAGTTTTAACTCTAATGTGTTTCATTTGAAGTCACCATAACAGTGATTAGTGATTCCATTAGTTGGGCTCTTAACTCTTAAAGGGGTCATATAATGCTATTTTTGTAAAAGTTAATATGAATGTTTAGGGTCTAAATGAAAACTTTGTAATTTTTTTTTATTCTCATTAGTATTTTAAGAAAACACACATTTGACCTGGTCAAAAACAGCTTCTACTTGAACAATCAAGAAATAAATAACATAAATTCTTCACTTTTGGACTTTAATGCAACAGTAAATATAAAAAAAGTCCAACTCAAAGTCAACTTAAAATACCCGCAGGCAAAACAAATAAACAAATTTTTATTTGTTTATTTGTTTACATGCCTGCCGGGTATTTTAAGTTTTGTGCCACTGTTTGCAAAGCCAGTAATGTGCTTTTAGGAACTGCACTACTATCTCTTGTGCTTTCTTGGCTGTGATGTCCTGCGCGCAGTCACGCAGTCTGTTTCTTCTGAACCTGGGCGGCTGTAGTTATGGATGATTCAGCTGAGAATCACCGCAACCAAACACCTCTCTCAGCTTTCTTATGTATGCGCTGCGGTACTCTGCTGTCAGGTAGTACTTCGGGACAGCCTTGAGGCTGAAGCCCTTTGTTCCTCCTGGTGTCTGTGTGTCCTTGTTGATGGTCTCCTCAATGGTCTGGTTGACTGCATCCACTGGAAGAAACAACTTATGCAAGTGTAGGTGAAGGCCTGTCGGTGTGCAAGTTTGTGCACAAAGCTAAAATATCACAATGGATCCAATGTCCGCGACTGTTTGCCGAATGACCGCGAGCTGTCCGGTAGTTAATCTTTTAGATTGACATCAGAGCTGTGTGTTTATTTTGTGGTTAGAAAACGGCATAATATAATAGCAATGAAGGTTGTGACCAAGATAAACACCGATTTTGGAATAAAATGGGGTTTCTGGGTATATTTGTTAATATCTACCTGAAATTCAACGTTTCTTATTTTCTTGTGTTACAAAGCTGTTACCTAATACAGTCCACATGAACCTGATAACAAAACTTATTCAAATATATTATACAAAAATTAAGAACAAATCGTACATTTTATGACTTTCCAATGGCAGACAGTATAGAGTCGACAATACATGTTATTTTTCTTTTCTTTTATATTTTTTACAACTCAAAACAACAAAATATCAGTGTGAATTTAATGATATCGGCTTTATTATGCTGATATCTTTAGTTTGAATATTTTAGTTTGCGTGGTATTAATATTAGATAACTGTTATTATGGTATTGGACGTTTGTGTATTTTTCAAAAATAATTCTACTACATGAAAGTAGGAAAATTATCAATTCTAAAAAAAAAGTATAAAAAGCTGGGACTGTGGAAAGGTTATCATATTGAAATTAACTTAAATTAGCTCCGGGAGGGCCAATTTCCTGCACAGTTTAGCACAAACACACTCGGCTGGAAGTTTCTAGTGATCCTAATGTTAATACTATGACCTTAAACCAAACAGACATGAACTAAAAGCCATACAACCATACAATTCCATGTATTTGACTGTACTAAAGCATAAAAATACCATATATGTTTGTTTGCAGAGATTTAGGAAGCATGCTTAGTATACAAACTTGTTTCTCTGACAAACAATGATACAGCCAGTTGGCAATATCTGTTTTTATTTTAGTCTGCGTGAATTCAAAATGGATTTATTTTGAATAATGCATGTTTTGGCTAAAAAGTGAACACATATATAATCATAAATGGTACATGAATCTAATTTGTGTTTTTTTTTTATTGATACTAGATGTACAATGACAAAAAGGACAACTCCGTCAAGTTCCGCCTCCAAGGAGACGGGGTGACAAGAGAACCATTTGGTTTGTTTTCCATTAACGAAAACACTGGTGTTGTATTCGTACACCGGCCCATCGACCGGGAAGTGAATCCCATCTTCCATGTAAGATCTCACCTGTGGCAAAGCACGATTTCAAGGCGGGATTTGAAATGACATTAATTCTAACAAAATAATACAGCGAATGAATTGGACTAAGAATGGACTGATTTAGTTTATGTTGATGTAGTTCAGAGTGACATTTTGATTCTTTTGTAGGTGGACTTTGACGTGCTGGACAGGCAGACTGATAAAGAGTTGGACAAAACGCTGTCATTCAACGTGGACATAAAGGACTTGAATGACAACAGTCCCAAGTTCTCGCCGGAAATGATCCGTGTACCAGTTCAGGAGAACACTCCTGAAGGTTCAGAGAACACGTATTACTGCATATATGCATATATTTGTTCTGTTAAAATGCTTTCTATAAAGAAACTATTATAAGTTAGCCATTTGTAAGTTTACTTCTCCTGAAAAGTGTAAACATGGACAGAACATTGCTCTATGTGTTTGAGTATCCAGACCAGCTCAATACAACAACACTGATTAAACCTACGGCGTGATTGTGGTGGAGGAATGAACTATTTTGCTGGCCAATGAGAATTTTCTCTCAGACTTTTCTTAATAGACCTTTATAGTCTTATTGTTCTTGATCTTTTCATTTCAGATAAAATAATTCACTGATATTTGCAACTGAAGACAAACTTAAAAGTCAAAACTTCCTCCCCAGTTCATAAAGGAGCAGTTATTGAAACTAAACTGTTAGCATTAAATGCCAAGCATAGATACAGTATGTTCTCTTTTTTAATCATCCTTGTTTGACTTTGAACAGGCATTCTGCAAGCAACATTACAAGCTCATGACAATGATCAGCCGGATACTCCTAATTCACAGTTCACCATGAGGGTGGTGTCACAAGAACCTGCATTACCAAAAATTTCCCTGAAGGACATACCTGGGACCACTAAAATCAAACAGCTCACCTTCACGGGATGCTTTGACTATGATGTGAGTAACTAACGGAAAGGCAAATGCATGTTTTGAGCATTTTTCAGTATTTTTGATCTTTTCTGTCTCTTGTATTTTAGATCGTAAAAACATATAAAGTGCTAGTTGAAGCGAAGGATAATGGGACACCTGCAATGTCTTCAACTGGAACTATTTTTCTGGACATCAGAGATACCAACACCCATCTACCAGAATTCAAATCTGCCACGGTGAGTCAGGCTGGACAGTCTTTGTAGATTGATGTGCCAAAAAAAAAGTGTAACCATGCACCATGATGTTAGTTGAACACACTCTGTAACAAAGGGTTACGGGATTAGTTTCGAGTTGCAGAACCAAACCAAACCAATCCATTCATGGAAGAAAATATTTTGTTATATCAGTGCAAGTGAAATTTGCATAGTTAGTTTATATAGTTGATAATATAAGGGTATGCAGAGACTCGAAAAGCACACATGTAGTAATTTTTAAAGCTTTTTTCTATCGATTCCACATCTTATTTTATATATTATCAGTAGCTAAATATTTATATTCATTTAAACTAAATGCTTAATAATAATTGTTAAACTATTTAGCCAGTGTGTAATGGATTAAGGATATAATAATAATCCTATAAATCCTATAAATAATTGAATAATCATCACTAAAAGCCAGACAATAGTGTCTTTAAATTTTTTTTACTCTGTAGTGACCTTTAATTTGGATCGAGATAAACTGGGGGAGCAATTTATTACGTCATAAATGTGTCACTTTGCTCACAGCTGATTGGTCCGGTTTTGAGTTCACTTACCCAGAACATATCCTGCCCCGGAGCAGGTTAAGCCTGGTTCACATGGGACGATTTTAAAATTGTCGGCCGATTTTCCAAACCTGAGAGACCCCACACACGGCGATAAAAAATCACGGGTCAAACAGTTTTGGTCGTACAGTGTGTGGTGCTCAGCCACACAGCAAAATCAACACATCACACACGAACCGATTTGACTCCCGAGCAATTCTCAGGTCAGACGGAAAATCTTGCAAAATCCCTCGAGATCAAACGTGACTTCAGAGTAAACAATCATGGCGGACGAAGAGGATGCAGTGGCGATAGTTTGTAGTTTGTTTTCAACCGAATCCATCTCTGACGAATCCATCCATTCTGCTGTGCCATGCCGCCAGCTGTTTTGATTTTGTTTCCCGGTGCTTCCTCTGCGCCTCGTCACCTCGCTTTCTGATTGGCTACACGCCACAGTCCACAGGCTGTGTGCTCGTTTGTCCCCGGGTGACACCACACAAGAGGAGAAATCGGGCCAAAATAATCCAACATGTTGGATATCCCCGATTTGAGATCGGAGCGGTCCCGACGTCCTTCCGAGCAGACGAGAGGACTCTTACCACACCACACATGGCAGGAATATCTGATCAGATTATTTTACGATAATCGGAGCATCTATAAGATTGTCGGAAGGGGTAAATCGGGGCTAAAATCGGCCTAATTATCCTGCCGTGTGAACCAGGCTTTAGACGTGGAGCGTAAGTTACTGTTGCAATGAACACCACTAAAATCTGAGCCACTTTCATGGTACCTAAAACACAGGGTTGGCGCAAACTAAACTGAAACATACCTGGCTATCCCCCTGAGCCGGCTTCATGGTATAGGCCCCAGCTTAGCCATGGAACGTAAGTTAATATGGCGATGAACACTGCTAAAAGCCAAACCACTTTCATGGTGCCTGTAAGGCCTGCCCAATCGGTCCAACGACAGTTTCCGATAAGCAGGTGAAGGTTACTGCGTGTTACTGTCTTTTCCGTGTGGAAAAGTAATTTGATTCCAATTAAGCGTTTATCTGACTACATTTTCTCACAACCTCGAATTTAGATTGGAAGGAAAATTTGTTATTGGTCATTTTTACAACTAGTGCAATGCCCGTGTAAAATCTGTTTTTGCGTGTTTTTAGTAATTGTTGGTTTGGTATGTTTGAGTTCTAAACTCTGAGAAAACAATAACGTTAAGCACACCAGAATAAAATATAATGTTCAGAATTATACAGTGTAGCTGAGTTACAGATTCAGTTAACATCCACAAATGAATAAGCGCAACGATTCAGGGGAGCACACAGTGAACTCAGTGAAAACGCTACGCTTGAGCAAACAGTTTGTGAATAGGCTACTACAAATGATGGCCGTGAATAAAATATAATATTCAGATATTTTTAAACCACAAGCCTGTAATGTCAGAATGTTTATTTTGGGGAGTGGCCACTCAGTGTGCAGTGTGGAGGGGGAGTGGCCACTCAGTGTGCAGTGTGTGAGGGGGAGTGGCCACTCAGTGTGCAGTGTGAGAGGGGGAGTGGCATCTCAGTATGCAGTGTGAGAGGGGGATTGGCCACTCAGTGTGAAGTGTGGAGGGGGAGTGGCCACTCAGTGTGCAGTGTGTGAGGGGGAGTGGCCACTCAGTGTGCAGTGTGGGGGGAGTGGCCACTCAGTGTGTAGTGTGTGAGGGGGAGTGGCCACTCAGTGTGCAGTGTGAGAGGGGGAGGGGGAGTGGCCACTCAATATGCAGTGTGATGGGGGAGTGGCCATTCAGTGTGCAGTGTGGAGGGGGAGTGGCCACTCAGTGTGCAGTGTGAGAGGGGGAGTGGCTACTCAGTGTGCAGTGTGGAGGGGGAGTTGCCACTCAGTGTGCAGTGTGAGAGGGGGAGTGGCATCTCAGTATGCAGTGTGAGAGGGGGATTGGCCACTCAGTGTGAAGTGTGGAGGGGGAGTGGCCACTCAGTGTGCAGTGTGTGAGGGGGAGTGGCCACTCAGTGTGCAGTGTGGGGGGAGTGGCTACTCAATATGCAGTGTGATAGGGGGAGTGGCCATTCAGTGTGCAGTGTGTGAGGGGGAGTGGCCACTCAGTGTGCAGTGTGGGGGGAGTGGCTACTCAATATGCAGTGTGATAGGGGGAGTGGCCATTCAGTGTGCAGTGTGGAGGGGGAGTGGCCACTCAGTGTGCAGTGTGAGAGGGGGAGGGGGAGTGGCCACTCAATATGCAGTGTGATAGGGGGAGTGGCCATTCAGTGTGCAGTGTGGAGGGGGAGTGGCCACTCAGTGTGCAGTGTGGAGGGGGAGTGGCCACTCAGTGTGCAGTGTGAGAGGGGGAGTGGCTACTCAGTGTGCAGTGTGGAGGGGGAGTTGCCACTCAGTGTGCAGTGTGGAGGGGGAGTGGCATCTCAGTATGCAGTGTGAGAGGGGGAGTGGCCACTCAATATGCAGTGTGAGAGGGGGAGGGGCCACTCAGTGTGCAGTGTGGAGGGGGAGTGGCCACTCAGTATGCAGTGTGAGAGGGGGAGTGGCCACTCAATATGCAGTGTGAGAGGGGGAGTGGCCACTCAGTGTGCAGTGTGAGAGGGCGAGTCGCCAGCGACTAGAGCCTCAAAAGCCAATGTGTGATTCTTTTACCGATATATTTACCGATATCTTTTGCATTTCTAATTCAAACAACGTCAAGCTTGGCACTGCCAAGCTTGTGCCCATAGCAAGACACCTGTCAAGTTTGAAATCCATCAGACTAACGGTTCGAGAGATATTTGATTAACAGACAGACAGACAGTTGGACAGACAGACAGACATTCCTGTAATTTATAGATAGATAGTTTAGAAATACGTTTGTTCTATTTAACTGTTTACTTTATATTTTACCCATTCAGATTAGGAAACTATGTCGCTTTGAGGTCCTCACGCCAGCCGTTTATAACGCGGATCTCACGATCACAAACTTCAGGTTACACAATCAAATATATTTTTGTATAGCCCCCTTGGTTGTATATACTTGAATTAAAGTAACATTTTCTTTAGACAGAGGTCATGACCACTACCACAGATATAAGCCGACCAATTATACATAGCTTTGCTTTGGTCATGCCATGGTTTCCCATATACACTTGACTAAAGTAACATTACATTAAACAGAGGTAAGACTCACCCTATTTAGGTTGGTCGATCAGCAGTTTGCTGTCTTAAACGGAAATTTGTAAACTTGTCACTAATCAGTAAAAAAAAATCAATACAATACCATCAAATGCTCAGAAATAAAGAGTAAAAGATGTACCTGACTCTAAAAAATATATAATGCTGAGTGTCTGAAAGGCATTTGCTAACAATGGGAATTTGCATTCAGAGTTTACACCTTTTGAGAGCAGGATGCCATTTGCCTGGAAGACACACTCTGTAAGCAAGTTATCATTAATTTTGTGTTTATTATAGTTTTGTTTGGTAAATAAATTGATTATCTTTTGATTAAGTTTTTGCGTCCCGCTTCCTTGTCACTAACTCTGAGCCGGGTTGTGACAACTCTTAAAAACTTTATTACCTGTTGGTTTACTTCTGTGGAGAATGAGAGTGCCAGTCGCACTGAGACATTTCAAATGATCCCAGACATAATAGTGTTTTATGATAATTGTTCACATTAAACCATATAGATTTTTGGGTGAATTTCAGGTGATCTCAACATGAGAGAGAGAGAAGGAACGGGGGAATGGGGCGTCAAGGGAAAGAGATGTAGATTGCATAGGTGAGACTTGCATCTCGAATGGTGATGCTAATTTGACAAGAGAGACTTCAAATATTAATTACCTGAAAGGTCCTTTGTCTTCTCAGGGAGTGGTTGTTCTTCAACCAGACTGCCTGCCATTTTCAAAATGTTCAAGTCTTACATGCCTAAAACCAAGAGTTGGCACAAACTAAATTGAAACAGACTAGGTACCTAAACTGGCTTCATAGTATAGGCCCCGGGTCAGCCAATGAATAGTCTGTTTGGCTGACCAATGAGAGAAGGGCAGTGTGTTAAGGAAACCTGTTTGTAAACAGTCAACTTGTTGCTTGTTAAGGCAAGGCAGCATAGCAACTCAAAACCAATCACAATTCCTCAACAACCGCATCACACTCGTGGGGTTTTTGTCTGGGCAAATCAAGCAAATCGTTTTTTTTTTTACAGTTCCAATTGATGCTGCTTGTGGTGCAGAAATTACACACTTTACCCTTACTAAATAGATGGCTTTATTGAGTAATTTGGTCTCAAAGCTTGTGTGATATGATATACATGAATGTATATGTGTGAAACAGTACAACACTGAAGTGAAGGAAATGGAATCAAACAAGGAGATCCTAAGAATTGGCGTCACAGACAAGGACACACCGAACACGGCTGCATCAAGAGCGGTGTTCTCCATCCTGAAGGGCAACGAAGATGGGAATTATAAGATCGAGACAGACCCCGCAACCAATGAAGGTGTGCTGTCTGTTATCAAGGTAAATGCCACTGTTCACTTTAACATTTCATTAACTTCTAAGAAAAGTTTATCAGGTGTATTCAAAGAGACATCAAAACCGATCAATTATGCGAACAGAATTCAATTATTGAATTAGGAAAAAAAAAGACAGCCGATGTGTCCTCTCAATATAATTGTATTTCACAGGGGAAGAATTTTGAGAAATCTGAGCTCACAGAGGTGGAAATAGGTGTCGAGAACGAGGAGAAATTATTTCAGTGTGTCAATGGAAAGGCCCTAACAGGTTCCACACCAAAGCTAAACTCTGTCAAAGTGGCAGTGAAAGTCATTGACGAGAATGATCCCCCTCAATTTAAGAAGACTACTGAAGTAATTTACCGAAATGAAAATGGATATCCAGGAGATGTGTTGTTTGTACCTGAAGTCAAAGATGAAGACTCGGACTTGAGCAAAATCAGGTGTGATTGAGCTGTGCAACATCAAATTACACACAGATTTAATTTTTGAATGGTTTTATCCTGCTTTCATTTCACTTTCATCATACTATAATGTAATTGTGCAAATGTTTGTGGTTCGTAAGATTTTTTGTGTTTTAATGATTTTAAATGTTAAGTCTCTTGTGCTCACCAAGGCTGCATTCATCTCATCAAAACCACTCTAAAAACTGTACAAAAATATTACAAATAGCTGTTTTCTATTGTAATATTTTGTAAAATGTAATTTATTCCTGTGATCAAAGCTGAATTTTCAGCATCAATACTCCAGGCTTCAGTGTCACATGATCATTCAGAAATCACTCTAATGATGATTTGATGCTCAAGAAACATTTATGATTATTATCAATTGATGAAAACAGCTGAGCTGCTTCATATTTTTTTGTGGAAACTTTGATGCATTTTTAAAATGATTAATTCAAAAAAAAAATTATTTTGTGACAATGTAAAAGTGTTTACTGTCACTTTTGATACATTTCATGCAACCTCGATGAATAAAAGTATTCATTTCTTTAAATAAATCTTACTGACACCAAAATGTTTAATGCACTGTATATGACAATATATATATATATATATATATATATATATATATATATATATATATATATAGATATTATACAATATATAATCACACACATACACTGTATAAACATAGAGGCTTATTTAGAGATGGGAAACTAGATTCTTGGATGATCACATAGCAGAAAGTAAAAGTATCATAACATCTGTGTATATGTGTGTAGGTATGAGTTAGTACAAGACCCAGCCAAATGGGTGAGTGTTGACCGGAAGACAGGAAAGATCACCACAGTTCAGAAGATGGACCGGGAATCTCCATTCATCAAGAATGGCACCTACACTGTTGTAGTCCATGCTATAGATGACGGTAAGCACCAAAATCTGTTCTCAGTATGTCTAAACAATTCGAACACTATTCCAAATGTGAACTATGAAAACATCGAGAATATATCCATAAGATATACAGATGTTTTTATTCAAAGTGATGCCAATTAATTGGGTAAACAGGATATGTGCAAGGAACGAGGTAAAAAAGAAAGACACAAGAATAGAAAACAAACTTCTTTACTAACTTACAGAATACTGCACAGTAGGGTACACATCTGTCGGTGATGATAAAACAAAATGGGATTCCCTTGCAAAACTTTGCAATCCCCCGAGAAACGTATTCGCTCATAAAATTTTGAAATGGAAATATGACAAGGGAGAGAAAACATGACTTGACAAAAACGTATTTTGCCATTTCTGCTTCTTAGGGCTGGTTCACACAGAAAGCGGTTTTGCTTTGAAAAACTTGTCTTTTAAAAGTTGAACTTATTTTAACCCTCTGGGGTACTTCGGTCATTTGTGACCGGATTTTTTAAAATAAAAAAACGTTAAAAATCGTAGCTTCGTCGGAATGGTACGAAACTTGGTGACTTTTATGGTTCTTGGTATACGAGCACACAAAAAAATTGGGGACAGGATTTGAAAAGTCTAAGTGGTCATAAAAAAATAGTCACACTTACCCCTTTTCCACCAACAAGAACCGGGTGCTGGTTCAGAGCCAGAGCTGGTTCGGAGTTGGTTCGACTGACAAGCTTACTAAGAACCGGTTTGCCTTTCCACCGGCTAGAGAGCCACAACAGAGCCAGATCTTTCGTCACTGCATACGTCTCATGTTGCCCAGCAACGCTAGTGCGGTAGCGCCAAACACAAACACGCTAGGCTTGTTCGAGATGCATCGGCTTCTCGCAGATCGATCGCCGCATGACATCAAAGCACTGCGAAAGCGATCCAAAAGCACAAGGAGTCGTATGATCTCCGAACACTCCCGCAGCTCCGATCGGTCCGCGCCGCTCCGATGCATCTCGAACAAGCCATCAACAATAACGGACGTTGCGTTACTATGGATGCTCATGGGTTTGCAAAAATACATCGGAATCCAACGTGTTTGTGCAGCTCGCCGTAACTTACATAGACGCATATTATAATCAAGCCGCTATTAGCTCGACTAGCTGCTATTTAAAAATGGCGGTCACAAGTTTCTATTCGTCTTGTTGGTCACGGTAACCCCGCCCCCAGCCCCTGACGCAAGCGGTTCTTACTTGGCTCTGTTCTAGACCAGCAATGATTTGGTGCTACTTAAGAAACACTTTTCCTGGTTCGGAGCTGGTGCTTTGCGTGTGGAAAAACAAAGAACCGAATTGAAACTAGGCTCTGGCTCTGAACCAGCACCAGCTCTGCCTTGGTGGAAAAGGGGTAACTCAGGACCTTCGGTCAAAAATGACCGGCCATAGGAAATGAATGGGAAATTGGCAAAAATATGAAAATACAGAGTTTATTTGTGCGTACAATCTACAAATCAGCCACGATGCAGGAAAAAAAGCACTCAACAGTGAAGGGGGGAATCTCTAAAACATCAAGAGTGCAAAACAGACAAATACACTCACACACACACACACACACTTATACACACAAAAACACACACATGTACACAAATTAACGCGTGTCAATTGCAAAAGCTAATTTTGGGAAACGTGTGAAATAAAAGCAATTATTCATCAATGTAAGAAATAAAGCGCACAGCAATGAACGCATGAGACTGTAAACAATCAAGGTTGCATAATACACACACACACACACACACACACACACACACACACATAGGGAAATATGAGACTGGTGAAACTGTAACAGAGAAATGTGAGAATATATGAAATAAAATCAATGAATCAAATAAAGGGGAGACATTAGGTCCAAAATGCAAAGGTCACACACTATGTCTCTCTCTCTTGAACACATGCACACACACACACACACACAGTGTAAGATCAAACGATGGAATTCTTCCTTATTCCTATTGCAGCAATATGTGCTCTTTTTATGCGTTTATTAGAGGTTGAATTCAAATCAAATACTGTCAAACCACCCATACTACTTCTAAATAGGATGTCTACTTCATAAATTGTATGAAAATTATGGAAATACATGGTTCAGATCACTCAAAACATATATGGAAATGGAGGCGCCCTTATATGGTCAGTAAGGAAGCTTGGCTTTCCATCTAGTGAAAAAGTTTGGAATGCGCCAAAATAAAATCTTGACTGAAAGCTTATTTTTTGAGATATCAACCTAAAATTTGGAACACAACTTCTTAAGATTTTTGGCTTTAATTTTCTTGCAGTTTTAGAGTAAAATATATTTTGTAATATATATATTTTATATAAAATATAAATAATTAAAGTTTTACATTGTTCATTTTCATCAACTCAAACTTACATAACTTTTTTTCTGTTTCACTTTCATAATTTATGTCACTTCTACAATAATCTGGCAAATGTCTTCTTTAAAACAAGACCAACCATAGGTCTATATTCCAAAGCATTCTTGACTTACAACCATTTAAGTTTGGATAGTGATTTTCATGTCTATGCGAAAATAATATATATTTTTTTTTTTTTTTTTTTTAATAAAATAAAACAACCAAACAAACAAAAAACTTGACAAAAATAGTATTTGAGAATCACTTATTATAAATGAAAATCCACAACCTGAAAAAAAAAATAGGCAAATATGTGCAAAAACAACTAGAATTCACAAGCCTTTCTACAGAGGCTGTAAATCCATCTAGTGGTTAAAATATGATATTGCATGATAATTATGCTCACTATATCCACCAGATGGCTCCAATGTGATTTTAAAAAATGTTTTCTATAGGCCAAGGATCCACTTTAACCTGAAATACAGCATTAATTAAAAAATAATACAAATAATATATATATATATATATATATATATATATATATATATATACATACATTTTCTATTTTATTCAATGGGAAAAAATGTATCATAATTATTGCATAAATATTAATTATTTTCATAAAATTCTCTCAAAACACACACAAAAAAAGAGAAAAAATATTATTGAACAAAAATAAATTTCATTGATTTTACTGAAAAAAAAATAAACATTGATTTCAGGGGTCCGGTCACTTTTGACCGCGAAGGTCCTGAGTGTGACTGGAAAACGAAGAACCCCAGAGGGTTAACTTGAGTACCCCGTTTTTAGAATGTTGTGTCATGCATGTCCATCTAGCGCATGTTTACATTGAAAAATAAAGTAGTGCAGTGGAATGGAAAAACATGATTATCCGGTACAGGATGAGAGCTTATTAATTACGAAAACGATTATTTATTTTTGCTAATCATTATTTTATTTCAGTTAGGTTTTCAGTAACTGTTGTTAGTTTCGTTTAGTTTTTCATTTATGTTGAACTTTCTATTTTATTTCAGTTTACGAAAATGTTTTTTTTTTCTTGCAGCTATATTTATCATTATTATTGTGTTCTTATTTGAAAGAAGACACTTGGAAGTTTACTAAAAGCACAGAAAACATGAGTCCAAAGATGCAAGAAATTCAAACTCATATGTAAAATGAATTTGTTTAAGAATTAGATTTTTTTGTCTTAAGAATAATCTTAAAAAAAAAAAGAAAAAGATAAGAACATTCCTAAGAACATTTTTGTTTCTATCGTTTTTCTTAAGTTATAAAATATGAAGAAATTGGCAGTTAAGAAGAACTTTATTCTAAAGAATGTTTTGTGAATCCGGCCATGAAGCTCACAGAAATCCATAACATATGGATTTGGGGCGATATGGGGCGATTCCCCTGGCGTAAACACAGGGGAACAACTGCTGGGTTCATCGCTGGTCTAGCTTCCTGTAACGTTATTACGTTGAAGGCGAGTAGAGTTGAGAACCCATGTGCAGTTCTATTGATAACCACAACCAAGATAAACAAATACATAATAAACCAAACTAAAACATGACAAATATGAGCACCTGATTTAACTTGAACAGACTTCAATGTGACCATAAAAAGTCTTCACAAAACAGCAGGTTACAATAGCAAAACTAATCAAGAGACTAAGAAAAAATGAGGAGTACATAAACCAGTGTTTCTCAAACTTTTTTTTTTGGTTGCGCTCCCCTTTAAACGTGAAAATATATTATTTTTTTATGAAGACGTATTTTGTTGTTCTTAAAAATCCTAATTTAATCTCTGCACACAACTTTTTGTCTAAATGCTGTTCACAGGACAGCCTCCAGCTACAGGGACATGCACTGTTGTGGTCTTCCTGGGTGACGTGAATGATAATGCCCCCTATCTCACCTCCAAAAACATGATCATGTGCGGGAACAAGGTCGACCGTGTCAATGTGATTCCAGCAGACCTTGATGGACCTCCATTTTCAACTCCTTTTACCTTCTCTCTGGGAGGAGGAGAAGCGCTTAGGAAACTCTGGAAGCCGGAGCCCGCCACAGGTCAGTCACATGCATTTACTTTATTTTAGGGACGTCCCAATTGAGTATTTTGAAGCGCCAATCCGAGTCATTGAATATTGAGTATCTGTCGATACAGAGTCCTTATCTGATACTTTGTAGATGTAAACATGTGTTACCATATAGCAATGCACTATGCCAATGATGTCTCAAAACGTCTGACGGCAGATAAAAATAACAGTAAATAAATCACTTTCGGGTAATTCCTTGCAAAAGTGCGCATTAAATATGCTAAACACGAGAGCTTGAACGTGCATGTGTGGTGTGCTAGAACAGTCCTTGCGACTTCTAGACATACACTCGCAAACTTCCCTAATCACTTTCCCTCGGCGAATCCCTGCCTCCATTTTGAGGTGCAGATTCAACTTCGTCAAGTGGGCGAGGGAAGTTTATTGCGACAGACCCTCGACTTCTTGATTTTGAAAGAAGGAGTGAGTCTATTCATGTACACTTCAGGCAGATGTTAGACCACAATGCAACATTTATAGCACCCTAGCAACCGTATAGTAAATCAAATGGTTCATATCTCTGGATCAAAACAACATAAAGACATGGGGGTGGGCTCTTTTGCCACAGACTGCCATGCAGTCTTTAAATGTCACCCTGCCAAGCAATGATTTTACGGACCCTAGCAACTGCATAGCAACATAAACAAGCCAAATCTCAGCATCAGAACATTGTATACACATGGGAGTTGGCTCTCTAGCAATCACGCAGAAGACCCTAGTAGCTGCCTAGTACTGAGTTTTGCCACGACAAGCACTTGAAAATGTGTTGAAAAAAACATATCTAGTTTTAGTTAAAGTCTTAGTAATTTTGCTGTGTTTTTGTCATTTTTCATTTTTTTTTAGTTATTTTAGTAGGTACATCAAGCTAAACTAAATAAAAATGAGAAATGTTTCATTGGAAACTAGCTGAAATAAAATAAGCTTAAAGTCCCCCTATAGTCAATCATTTTATCCCTTAAATCTTTGATCTCTAAAATTAGATATTTCAAAGTTTTTTCCTTGAAGAAATAATAATTAATGCCTTAAAATAGCTTGAATGTAACTCTACACCCTTGCCTCAGTTATATGTGGTTCTATGAATATGCAAATGAGCCCCGCCTCCACTCACTCACTCAGCTCAGAGATCCACTCGTTGACGATCACACGTTGATCTGGTTGGTTACAAGGTAGTTTGTGACGTCAGAAACACCAGCGATTTCAAACCGTGTTTTTGATGAATTTTTCTTATGAATTTGCACATGGTTTGTCTTAAAGCATACTAAAAACACCACATAGACATATAAACAACATTCAACTTTTTTTTTTTACACTGTAATAACCCTGTTCCACACTATCATTAAAGTTCTGCTGGGTTTATTCCATATAGGAGTAAACACCTCTCTGATAAGTTTGACGTCTCTACCATATGGAAACTACTCGATTCCTTTGAAGATTCAGGACCAGCAAGGGCTGGAGTCAGAAGAGGTTCTGCAGGTAGTTGTGTGTGAATGTGTGGGAGAAGGAACCGTGTGTCGTGGGGCTCTTCCTTCCTCCTCAAGGCTGGGTCCAGCAGCCATCGGTCTCCTGCTTGCCGGACTTCTCCTTTTGCTCCGTGAGTTTTCAGACTAAATAACAACATCAAATGTGCATCTTCAACAGACAAAATAATCAAACACAGCCAACTACAACAGTTATAGGTGCCGTTTACACAACACCATTTTACTTTTTATGCATTTTGGCCGTTCATTTATACGACAGCAGCGTTGTGTGGGCCTGAAAACACAAGCTTTTAAAAACGGGTTTTGTGTACGTTTTTGAAAACGATACCATTATCATCTCCATGTAAAGAAGCAAAAATGTGAATTTATGAAAATTGTGACGTCATGCGCATTGCGTGTTTAGTCTATAGGCGCGTAGTGTTTCTTTACATCGCCATCTACTGGCCTGGCATGAATAATACACCGCTTTTAATCGTTTTCACAGATCCTTGTGAATGGGGATTGTTTTGAAAATGTTGTTGTCTGTACAGAGGAAAAACGTCACCATTTTTAGTACATTGTTTTCTTGTAAACATACCCATAGTCCTCTTATTTGATCATTTAAACAATGTGCAGTTCATATAATATCACTTACTTTTAAATCTGAAATATTTTCAATGTATGCAGATTAATGTAATATATAATACAATGACACACCTTGTTTGTTTGTTGTTCTGCAGTTCTTCTACTCCTTTCTTTCTGCTGTGACTGCCGAAGCACGAGCTTTCAACACATACCTCTGAACATGGTGGACGAGGGCAACCAAACCATTGTCAAATACAACGAGGAGGGAGGAGGCTCAGTCTATAAAGTATGTGAAACTGGTCTTGTTCAGAGTTCAAAGTTATGAATTTAGAAGGAAGTAAAAACTATTATATGTTCCTGACTTATATGTCTTAATAAGAAGTATAATTTAGTATTTGTTGTCCCTTATTTATGTGGCTTGTGCTACAAACTGCATTAATATGTGTATATAGATATGACAAAATTATTTTTTCACTGTTTACATACACTCATATTCATCAGTTTGAATTAAATGTAATCTGATTGCATGCTTTTAAACATTTTGAAAAATATAACTTGTGGCATTTTTGAATTAGACTGATTTGTGAATGTGTTTCGGATTCAAAGCTTATATGGTAATTCTTTTAAAAGAGTATTTAAGATACTTATTTTAGAACAAATCTAATAAGTATTTTTTTTTATTATTATTAATAATTATTTTTATTAAGATTAATACGCAAGCTCATTATATTAATGCACTCTCCGACTACAAATAAACAGGTTATTTGTATGTAACCACAGCGAGTTTGAGGACGCACGCCCTGTTTTCAGAGTTAGATGCGCTCCTGGGTCAACACATTCTTGCCCGAAAATGTAATACTAATCATCCCTACCCCTACCCATACACTATCCCTAAAATCAGCGTATAACACTGATGTAGAAGCATCTGATGTTGTAAGACATAAACTGTAAACATAAACTGTCACTCAAATCTGATTGGTTGATTGGAATGTTGTTCCAGGATCAACAAAGTTGTTGTTCCAGGAACATGTTGCATTTGGTGAAAGCAAGTTCTGTGTTTGGGTGCATTCCAAAGTATCGGCAGTTATATAGTCTGAACTTGTTTGCCTGAGAATATTTGGTGCAGTTTTACGAGGAGCAACATCTGTGGTCTAACTGTGATGAATAATTTTGCCTGTATTTTTTTTCTCCTCAGCCCGAGTCCACACTTACTTCCAATTTTGGTCTGATGGAAAGCATGAAAATTGGATCTGCACCGGTACATACATGTCTTTTTCCCCTCAGTTTTTAACTTTTATACATTATTCTCATTTATAAATGACACATTTTCTTCTTTTCTTTTCTTTTCTTTTTTTTTAGACACTAAGACCTTTTCAGGTAGTTAAAAAATGCATTTGAATGTGTGTGAAGTTTCAGACAATTTGCCCAAAATAATTTACCCTAATAGCCAGGACAAAGTCAGTTATAAATGACACAACCCTAAAAAAAAAGGTTGGATTTTAAAAACTAATTTTGGAAAATGATTTTAGCCTTAAATATATGTAAAATATAATTTCATTTATTTTTTCTAGCTTTGATTTCATAATTATTCCTTTCGAGGGGTAATATTGGGGGCAGCCATAGGAATAGGATTATGTTGTATCACATTTTGGCACAGTGAACAGAATCCCAAGATGAGTTGCACTGAAAAGTAAAGAGCTTCATGTCGCTACATGCACTCTGTAAGACTGACACTTGAAAGCAGGTTGTTAGCTCAACTGCATGTTAGTGATAAACACTTGCTGGGCTGTCAAGCTTCTTTTACATGTTAGGACCTGTTATGGCAAAATATCATAATCATATGCAGTTATACGGCACCAAGCACCTTTTTATGACTGGCACCAATAGCACGTTTTTCTCACAGTTTTGAGGTGACTTTTACTCCATGTCTTTTAAAATGTACAATTCTAATGCAAAACTGATCAAAATTTACAGAAACCTTTTGTAACATTATAAAGGTCTTTACTATTTCAAATCAATGCTGTTCTTTTGAACTTTGAATCAAAGAATCCTGAAAAGAAATATCACGATTTCCACAATAAAATATATATTGTAAATAAATGTTTCTTCAGCTTTAAATCATCATATTAAAGTGATTTCTGAAGGATCATGTGAGACTGAAAACTGGAGTAATGATGCTGAAAATTTAGATATGATCACATGAATAAATTGCATTTTACAATATATCATAATAAATATACTGTATGTGCATAAGCATGAGATCTGTAACTGCTCGGATTTTAACTGTAAAAGTAACAACAGGACCTAAAAGAAAGTAATGTGACATGGCCCTTCAAATCTCATACTGTAAGTTAATAACAAGCTACTAACAACCTGCATATTACTGTTTTTACAGTCTGAGTCCCTGGTTACAACTGACGGATACAGGATGGCTGATAGTAGTATGCTGAGAATCCCTGGAAGGGTTAGTGTCAAATCAAGTCAATGCGTCGACTGCCAAGAATTAAGCTTGGATCATTCTGTTGGCATGCATGGGAAAGTTGACTACAGTACACAAATCTGTTAAATGGATTACATATGGTTACATTATGAAATGAGATTAGTTCAAATATTTCATTCTTTATATGCGACACATTTTTGATCATTCAGGAAAAAATTTAGTTTGTAATTCCCCTGCTCGAAATGCCAACGGAGAATGTAAACCAAAACGAACAAGACTTCGTAATGAATGCAGGGCAAAAGGCATTTAAATAGACAGGGTAATGAACTAATGAGCAGAGAGGACACTTGAAAATGTAGTCCGGGGGTAACTACGTCTATGGAAACAGTGAGGAACGAGTCTGCCATCTTCTGGTACTTAAGGTTACCGCAGCTCACAGATGCCACACATTGGCCGACCTTAAACTTTTATCCAATAGCTATTTGCCTAACAGAGTGGGAGTGTGGGAAAGAAAAAAATACATGATAAAGCATCCAAAAGATCTCAAATGAAAAGGCAAGTTGAGACTGGTTAGGTTTCCTAGTTATTTCACTTCAAAAAAAAGCAAGAAACCTAAACCTAACCACCAGTAGGGCGTAAGAAGATCATACAAAAACTAACAAATGAGAAGGAATTCATACAAATTAGCCACCAATTTGACAAAATGTAAAATAGTTGCGAATTGCTGTGAGATTGTGTTGGCACGACTATAGAGGCATAACTAAAACTGAATGGCTTTTGCTAGACACATGTGACTTTTTTCTTTGTTCTAACAATTCAAAAATGTAAAAATGCTAAGTAAATATCATATGTCATGTTCATAAGTAACAGTGTTCTTTTGGTAATGTGAAATATTAACTAATTTATCCCATCTCTCACACTATCAGTATAACTCCATTATTTCCAATGTTGGAGGTGCGAGGAGCGTGGTGAGTGACCGCATACATCAAACTGAGATATGGGTGACTGACTGGGACAGACTGGGAGGGGAAGAGTTCTTAAAGAAAACAAAGAAATTTGGGATTTTTGTACCTTGTACCTTGACATGAGTCACAGTGGGGTTCAAATGTCTGAGAGCACAAACTCTGCTAAATAAGTTTAGGGTAAAACTATATAAAAATGAAAACTTTTTTTTTATTGTTAATCAAATGCAAATAAATGGTAGATTTTCTTGCATTCATTATACCATTGAACATAAGTCTGATTTACAGACCATAGCAATCCATTGTACAATCGAGTTTGTCAGTCTATCTGAACTTCATAATTACTCTAATCATTCTAATATTCTGATTTGGTGGTCAAGTAAATTTTTTTATTCTTATCAATATTGAAATTGATTTAAAAAAAAAAATTATAAAAAAAAATCTGTGTAATGTGTCCTTGCTGAATAAATCTATTTCAGTCATGACAACTCTCAAAATAATTTTAGCAGGTTATTCACTTCTATCACGCAGACGGAGCCTTGCTTTCGATTTCAAAATAACGGCTGCGTGAAATAAGCCTATTAAATATGGCAATGTTAATGTATTTGGTCTTGGCAGACACAGTATGGACTTGCTACTGCTAATAGACTCACAGATGCTGTGAGCATGTAAGATATGCTGCTGCTGCTGCTGCTGCTGCATAAATATACATACATAAATCCCGAAGCAGATATAGGCAGGTGGAGCTGGGGAGGACGAGGGGTTCAGAGGAACTCTAATAGCAGGACTAGCCTACCACAAACAATGAAATTTAAATGTTGAGCAAGCAACCTCATTGGCTGTAGGATCAGCAGAGGCCAATCAGCTTGTGGCATGCAGTAATGATGTGATTGCTTGCAGATTGCATGTAAAGGACCGCAGATCATTCTGTGCCCTCTAGAGTTTCATGGCTGAACTAGATATTGATTTAAAAAATCTTACTGACCCCAATCTTTTAAACAGTAATGTATATACAGTAAATGTATATGGGTCATATTTGATTAAAATGGATATTTAATAATATTGTTGTTTTTTCTCCTCTCTCAGTCAATGTACCGAGGGGAAAGGGGAAGGTTTATGGTAAGCTTTTCAAATGATTCTTATAAATTACAAAAAAATATGTATTTTTAAGAAAATAATTTTTAACACTTGTCAACCAAAGGTTTTGAAACTTGTTAATGTTACATAGGCATCATTTTTTAGACCATTTTCATTGTAGTAATAGCTAAACTTGTTAAATACAGAAATAACATATACAATTAAAATTAAAATTTAAAAACAAAAAAGATAAGTACCTGTTTCAACTAAAGTCTAAATGAAATATCACACTTGTTTTTAAGAGTGGAGGCAGCCAGATGTCCCGGTCACTCACCTACACTCAAACACAAAGAAATCTGTCAGGACGCATCGAGAGGGTGAGTCCACTACACTAAACACTAAACTGGCATGATTTTCAGGAAACCTGTAGAAAATATGAGAGAGGAAGAAAAATTATAATTTTCAGGTAGCCTATAATTTATACTGATATAAAAACATAAACGCACTCAGTTTTTCTGTAAATTTAAGAATATTATTTCCATTTTAAATCCATTTTAAATAATGTTTTAGTGTACTTTAAAAATGCAATTCACTGTCTGACATACTGTACTAAAGAGTATTGAACGTTGTAGTGGATTATGTCAACTTCAGTGTGTTAGAAATTACATTTAAAGTAATTTTATTTTAATTTTTTTTTAAAACTACACTTCAAGGTCAGAGTCTATGTGGGCAGTCCTCTGACAAAGGCAAAAAAAAAGCCAACAAATACCTTTAAGAAAGTAAAATAGTGTATTAAAATAGAGGAGAAGGAAAGGGAAAGAGAGAGAGAGAGAGAGAGAGAGAGAGAGAGAGAGAGAGAGAGAGAGAGAGAGAGAGAGAGAGAGAGAGAGAGAGAGAGAGAGAGAGAGAGAGAGAGAGAGAGAGAGAGAGAGAGAGAGAGAGAGAGAGAGAGAGAGAGAGAGGGAAAATCTCATGAGCTGCTGAGAATGTCTATTATCATTTCACCAGTGAGATGATATTTCACAATGATTCATTCACAATAACCACTTATATTATAAAACTGTTTATAGTCCTGTGTGAAAAGAAGTAGACTTTAGCATACTTTTAAAAATAGTACATATTACGGAAATATATGTATAAAGAAGATACTTAAGTGTAAACGGAACGGAATTTTAAATTTATATTAAATGCAACTATATGATATTTTAGGCTACTTTTTGACCCATTTAAGTAGTATGTATGTACATATTTATCTAAAATTTTAATTTCTTTGAAATGTTGGGGTTAAAATGTGACTATTAAAAGTTGTATGTCATGTATTTCAAAAATATATTTCTAATTACTCATGTGTAATGACAAAGCTGCAATTTAGTACATTTAAAATATATTAACTTTAAATAAAATACTGAATAACAAAATTAAAATTATAATCCATGTTTTAATAATTAAGATTATTAAAACATTATGACATGATTACAAAGTGAACTTTTTAAAAGTGTACTTCAGTATTTCAAGAAACAGTCATGCAAATATACTCTCTTTAAGTGCACTTAAGTGCCTTTTATTTCATTATATTATCTGCAAATACATAAAATATGCTTCTAAAATTTGAAGAAATGCACATTCAGTGTAATTAAGTGCACTTCTTTTTCACAAGGGTTATATTAGTTTAAAGTATGCTTAAATGTAGGTAAATGTGAAACAACACACAGGTTAATTTGATTTGCGTGTCAGTTGTTGTGGAAACAAGAACAGTTGAACTATTATTTGCACTGCATGACTTGCCTTTGGCACACTACTGGTGGAGAAGAGACCTTGCTTCAACTTGTTCCGAGTTGAAAATCAAGTGCACTGTCTGCTAGATCCTTCATTGCACAATGTAATATTAATGTACGAAGATCTGCAGACCGTGTAGTCACCTATGAAATCACATTCTATCAGCTATCAAAAGCTTTAAGATTGTTTTTTCTCTTTCCATTACGTTATTTTATAGAAAATCAGCGGACTTCCGGAAGCAAAGAAGGACTATCCTGAATATTCCCCATATCTATATGAATATGAGGGGAAGGGCAGTGATTGCCAGTCACTGGATCAGCTGACTGTCAGCAACCTTGGTGATAACCTGGACTTCCTTCAGGACCTTGGGCCAAAGTTCAGCACTCTGGGAGAGATTTGTCAACGGCCAGTGGAGCGCAGGAATGTCCGACTGTGAAAATGGATGATGACTTGAGACTTGAGAGAGCTTCAAGCCTTCAGCTTTATATCGTTTAATGATTGCTCCACATTTCTATAATGCTTTCAGCTCAGCTGCAAAGGGGTACCAGGGATTTTTTGTGCATTGATTGTTTTATTTTTTTTGAGAGAGTGCTCTAGGACAAGGCAAGCCTTGATTTTGAGCACCATGAAACCTGCACAGGAGCAGGGTGATCAGGGATAAGCTGTGAACATTACGTCTTCAGTGCCAAGACTGGCCTCAAGGAACTAAGTGATACTGATACAGTATGCGTTTGTGCTCATGATATATAAGGAATATATGCATAAGGAAGCATGTTGAGTGCTTGAATTGAAAACTGCTAACTTTACCTCAGCTTGTGCCTGCCTGTTTCATCTTTTTTCCTCAGCAATTGTAAAGCCACACTTTCCCAACCACACTTAGCCATGCTGATTGTGTAAGCGAGTTTTTGTCTGGGGTTGTCCTGCACTTACATGATGCTATTGGGACGCTGACTTTAGGTACTGTATTGTTTTGCGCACTTTGCTAGGATGACTTTGCATTGCAGAATCTCTTGAGTATTTAAAGGGATAGTCCAGCCGAAAATGAGAATTCTCCTTTGTCCTTCACGTTGTTCAAAACATATGAAGCTTATTTCCAGGTAATTGTGACTTTTTATCAAGATATTCTGACAATCCTTTCAGAATGCTGAGTTTACATCTGGCAGGTCTGATTTTTTGAGTTCATTCAATATGCAATATTTTTTATTTTATTTTTAATTTTTATACACCTGACCTGTCCGTATGCACATGCAGAATTCTGGGAAATTCTGAAATATAAACTCGCAATTGCGAGATGCAAACTTGCAATTCTGAGAAAAAAGTCAGAATTGTGAATAAAAAGTCACAATATAATTTTTTTATATTTTTATTCTGTGACGAAAATAAGCTTAAACACAAACCTGCATGAGTTTCTTCTGTGGACCATAAAATAAGATACTTTGAAGGACACTGGGACCCAAAAAAACATTGGAGCCCATTGACGTATGGACAAAAAGTACAGTTTTTGAAGGACATGAGGTCAATTATAAACAACTGAATAATTGAATATTCATTTTTGAGTGAACTTTCCCTTTAAATACTGACAGTTAAAAAAACAGCAAAAGTGAATGACAATAAAAGCAGAAACCATTTCGGTGAGAGCAATGAGAGAGAAAAAATGAAGATGAAGATGGGTTATCACTTCAACAGAGAGTCTGGCATGTGGCAGTAATGCACCATCAGTAATTATTACATATCTCTTCCGTATTTGTGTTCCCTCTTCTTAAAGTGCTTTTGTTCACCTGGGTTTTTCATTGTTGTTAGGCTTAATGAAGAGTGGCTGGAATTTTTTTTATTATTATTGTTATGCTATATTTACATTTTGTAAGAGTGCAGTGTTAATCTATTTCTTTTATATTTCTCATTGTATTGTAAATAGGTTTTATTTGTTTCATCCAAACATGTTTTTAAGTAAGGATTAATGATATATTTTTAAAAACGTTATCTGGATGGTTTTGGTTCAGAGGTGCTGAGGGCCAGAGATGTTGTCTGCAATGTTCACTTTTTCCTTAAGGAACAACCTCTAAAAATGTATTTTTAAAATTATCTGAATAAATATGATTACAATGATATGTTAACATTAGTGAATGTGTTATTGGTATCACAATTTTTTTACAGCATTTATTAATCTAGTTTAATGTTAATTACTAAAACACTTTTAATATATTTGTTTGTTGTTCACTCATGTATATTCATAATACATTAATGTAATTTAAAAATATATATCTTCAATTTTAAAATATAAGTACACAAAGAAATGAACATTAACTTAGATTAATATATGCTGTAAAAGTTTTTCGTTACAGTTTTTCATGTTAGCTATTAAATTAATCCTGTAATAATGTTGAATAAATAATTCAGGTTTCTAAGAACGGAATGTTGCATGCTGTTGCTTTCAGTTATTTGCCATGTGATTTGTCGGTCATACAGAACTCATCTTATACTTGCTGTGTGTTTTTGTTTATGTCAGTATTAGCACATGTTAGGTTCTTTCTGCACCCCTGGGATGTCATGACACTGCATTTAGTTTCAATGCAGCTTCAAAGGCTCTACATGATCCCAGCCGAGGAATCAAGGGTCTAATCTAGCGAAACCATCGGTCATTTTCTAAAAACAAAACAAAAAATGCTCGTCTTGCATTAGCTCGGCGATGCACGTCCATGACTTCACGCATTACGCTAGAAAGGTCGGAAGTAGGCGGAAGTACTGACCTAGTGTTAACAAAGCGAACCCATTTAAAATCTTAAAAACAAGCAATACAATTTTAAAAGCAATCCTGAAGCGGATAGAAATCCAGTGGGTCAAGGCTAAAATTGGGGTAATGTGCTCACGCTTTTTAAGCCTAGCTGCTGCATTCTGGAATAACTGTAAGCGATGAAGAGATGACTGATCCAATACAACATATAAAGCGTTACAGTAGTCTAGTCTAGACGTAATAAAAGCATGAATTACTCTTTCAAAATCCTTGCACGGCAGGTAGGGCTCGACTTTAGCCAACAGTCTCAGCTGGAAGAAACGTCTCGGTTACATATGTAAACCTAGTTCCCTGAAGAGGCGGCGAAACACTGTGGGAACGCCTCTGCGTGATTGCGTCATGAAGCATGTATGAAACCAGTCCAATGGCGGAATGTCATGTGACGGCTGAAGCAAGTCGATCACGGGCATGCCGGGAATATGGCTAAATGACTGACGCAGCGTCTCGTTCCCTCTTCAGGGAACTAGGGTTACATACGTAACCGAGGCGTTCCCTTACAAGGGAACTCAAGCTGCGTCGAAACGCTGTTGGAACGCTAATACCCACGCCATAAGAGCAAGTGTCTGTGTGAAATCAATGCGCACATCTAGGCGAAAGCACCTGCGCCCCTGGATTGGATGCGGTAAGGACTAGCCTTACCGCATATGTATATTCTTGGAAAGAAACTCCTGACAGTAATGCTTTGGAAACAGCCATACTCCTAGTGGAGTGGGCCCGTACAACCAAAAGGGGAAACCTGACTTGCTGACTCATAAGCAAGTGAGATGGCCTCGACCACCCACTTGCTTATCCTCTGCTTAGATGGACTTTCTCCACAGTTCTGTGGAAGTAAGCATCTAAGGCCCTAGCTGGTCAGAGCAGATAAAGTTACTCTAGGTCTGACGTCTGGAGCAGGACAGAAGGCCTGCAGTACTCTAGGTCTTACAGTATTAGTAGGAACCTTAGGAACGTAACCTGATGTTACGCCACCTTCACACTGGCAGTTGAAATCAGCTCCGTAATACGCAATACGCCCCCAGTGGACGTCATACTACACCGTTGAAAAGCGTCGGAAGCGAGTAGAACAAAAATGGTGGAGAGATTAGATCTCTTCCTTTTCTGCTTGCGTCTCCAGTATAGGAGAGCAACAGCAAGAGCATTGACGATTTGCCATCATGGAATTTTCTGGCTGTATGTGAATGAGCGGGGTGAGGGAAAACGGTATACCTACCTATCTCAAAGGTATAAGGTGCGAGCTTCGCAACCCAGCGCTGTACACCGGCATCAAGCTTCGGTTTAGTCATTATATACGTCAGAGGATTGTTTGTTTTTTTCGCTTTCTTTTATTTGATTTATTTGACAATAAAAGTTAAAACAAGTACAATCAATCCCAAAAGACCCAATTCATACACATTTTTAAAAAAAAAAACTGTCGAGGATAAGATACACAAAAAAGCCACAGGCTTATTTCCATTGTGGTCCTCTATATTCAAAAATAGACAAGCAGTTCATAATGGGAAATCAAAACAACACACATCAACATATCACATAATAACTTCTAGAAACATAGTTAAAAAAGCCATTTCTTATCTTCTCTTCTAAAAGGACCTTCTTCTTGAATTTGTTTTAAGCAATCAGGCAATTCATTCCAAACATCAGCGCTAGAATACAAAAAGAATTATTCCCAATTAAACTCTTAAACCGACAAGTACGTATTATGTATCCTTGCCCTTGTAGAAAAACCATGAACATATACGAAAACATATTATTCATACAAGTATTTTGGAACATTTCTCTGTAGTATTTTGTTCACCATCATCAACTTAAGAAAAATTACCATTTTGTCCACTTGTAAAAACCCTATTTCCCTAAAATGATTATTATTTAAATGAATTCGTGGATGAAGCCTCAGAATAACTCTACACAATTTACTTTTAACTCGATTCGTAGAGCCACTATACCAGAAAGTTGCTGCATAATCAAAATGTGCTTGCACTAATGCCCCAACTAACATTTTTAAGGTTTGTTTATCTAAATAAGCAGCCTGTCTTGCTAAGAATTTTATTCGATTACATACTTTAGAATTAAGCGTATTTTATTTGCATTTTAGTTTAGTTTAAGATAAACACACACACACACACACACACACACACACACACACAACTAAATCTATAATACTGTATCAATGATAGTAAAATAGCACTGAGCCAATCCCTGCCCTCCCTGATTTGAATATCCCCTCCCCTCTCCCATCTGTTATATGAGCAGCGGCCAACACTATTGCTCTATGAGAAAGAAGGAAACTCAGACTCATTCACACTGGATTGCTTGACGATCTGCTTCAACATGAAGACCCTTCCTGTCAGTTTGCTCCTGGTGCTGGTGAGTTCAAGACCTGTGTGATGTGATACAACTATCCTACATATTCCTAGACAGATAGTGTTCATGTTGCAGAAACTCTACTCTTAATAATGCTTTCAAGATTAAGTGGATAATACAATCTTTTTTGAACAACCCTACATCTCTTTGGAATATTATCCAAATTATATTTTCAGTTCAGTTGGAGATTTGCATTTTTTTGTTGCGCTGCAACTATGACATCTCTAAAATACCTTTAACTCTTTCTAGTTTTCATAAACAGGCTTTAATATGCTGGTCCCTAATATATAATTATATTTTTTCTCCACATAGCTATTTTATTTGGAACAACCAAAATATTAAATAAAAAAATAAATCTCTTAAAAAAAAAAAATGGTTTGATAAAAATATACTTTTAGTGAGTCAACTTTTGGATGAAAGGGGTGTCTTGCTCTCTTATGAACACTTTATGCAATATGCAAGAATACTCTTTTCCAGTCCCCCCAAGAGAATATGTTTTTGGTGCAATTCCTGATTGTGTGAAACCTTTAGTTACACCTGGCCCTAAAGGTCCTTTATGCTCTCCACCTATTTTGACAACACTAATCTATTTGTTGATCAATATCTTCTCAGCAGCTTGTCAAACAAGAAAATTCGCTCTATTCTTAACAGAGATCAGATTTCTATACCTGCTTGTAAGCTTTTGGAATAATACATTTGATGACATAGTATGGGAGAACTTCTGGCTCCTTCAGCAAACATTATTTTTATCTAAAAAAGTGGTTGAAGTCTATTAAAATTATTCTTGCTACCCAGTTAATTATAAATTTGCTAAATTTAATAATAGTATTTCCCCCTTGTGCTCCAATTATTCATTTGTTTTGGGAATGTGTGTATTGCAAAATCTTTTGGGTTGACTTCTCAAATTTTGTTAAAAGATATATATCTTTAAACTTCTGTATAAGCCAATTATTTTTTGTTTTTTGGTGACTCTCTGAAATTAGACCCCTTTCATTTTAAATTTGTTCTTAACTTGCTACTTTTTCTTGCCAAATTTTATATTCACAAGTGTACATTTTCAAAGAAAACTATTTTTTTCATTTTTAAGAAAGATTTTGATATGTATCTAAATTCTTTGAAGAACTCTAAAAACTCCACTGCATGTAAGACTTTGAAATGTTGTCAATAATTTAAGCTAGTTTAATGCTATTTATGTTTATGTAATGTAACCCTTTGTATTGTGTATCGTTTATTGTTTATTATTGTCCTAATTTGTTTTTGTTATTACTGCATAATATATATATATATATATATATATATATATATATATAAAAAAAAAAATGTTGCAGAAACTAAGTCTATCACACTGTATAAAGTCAGGTGAAATCCAGGTTTATGTACAATCAGACGATTAATGTTTGGTTTCCATTGAATGATTAGCTGATGCGATTATTTGCCATGTCTCTTAAAGTAAAAACGGCATGTTTATTTAATTAGTTCTCGCAACTTGGAGCCCGGGAAGTCACCTGTGAAAAAAAAAAGAAAAAAAAAAAGATTTAATATGAATGACGTGCATCAAAATCTTTTGTTTATTTGTGATAATCTGAGCACTTTATTATTATTTCACCCCATACAATTGAGAATCACTTTAAGCATGCAGACGCAGTTAAGAGACAATTTGATGTATTCCACTTAATAGCTACACAAGAAAACAATATAGGCCTACAATATAAGATTTGTTAACAACGTACCTCCTGCTTTTCTTCTAAAATGAGGGCGGGCCACAAATCCATGAGTACAGTTTACAAACCCGTGGGAACGCATTGCGAAAGCGTGGGCACAGTTTATTAATTTGTGGGCACGATTTTTTACAGTTAACAGTTTGAGAATTCGTGAGTGCGGTTTATAAACTGAACGAACGGATTGCAAAACCGTCGGCACGGATTGTTTTTTTTTTCTCTCCCACAGGTGACATAGTCACCTCCGTAGTAGCTACACACTATTGGGTGTGGATGAAAGTGTCTTTCATTCCTGTACGTCTTTGAGTTCATGACACATGAACATGAGCATGCACTTTAAGAATGGTTTGAATTGTACGTTCACGCCTTAAGGTACTCTCAAATATGCTTATTAGTAAAACTAATAATTATGTGAATTCAGTCAAATGTGCATTGGCTGTAGCTATCTGTTAAATACAACGCATTCTCATCCCAAGGCGTCATATACTGACGCTTTTGCCAAAGTGTCTACATCCAACGCAGATGGCACCCTTTAGCGTCAATATAACACGCTTCGGTTATGGGTAGGTTTAGGTCTGGGGTAGGGTTAGGGTTAGACCACTAGGAGGCACATATATCTGCGTCTCATATTGACGCTAAAGGGTGCCATGTGCGTTGGATGTAGACGCTTTGGCAAAAGCGTCAGTATATGACGCCTTGGAATGAGAACGGGCTCGTTAAATATAGTATTCTATATAATCTGTACAGTTGTGAGCTTAATTTTTGCTTGACATTATAAGGGAATGTCAAGCAGTGCAAGCGTATGCCCTCAAGCAATGTTAGAAAGGGAAACATCACAGAAAGTTTGATTTGTTAATGTGAATGCTGGCCAAAAATAATAATATCCCTCCCAGACTAAATGAAGGGACTTTTAACTTGACATAATAAAGAATCCTTTATGCAACATAATTTACTCTTCACAAGTTGTCCTTTGGTGCAAAATATATATTAATTGTCCTGACTATGGCAATACATTTAAATGATTTTAATAAGCTTGTCAAAATCTTCTCAGCAAAACGGTTATTTTTAAAGTCAATGCAATTTGGGGACTGCATTACAAATTTAAAACCAACTGCACTGTAAAATAAAAATCAAAGTTGTAAATAAAACAAAGATAATACTATTTCAGTATTTTTAACTTAAATTCACATTTAATTCAATGTTACTTACCGTTTCTTTGTCATTATTTGTGAAATTTATTGCATTTTATTGCATTTTGTTGTGAATATTGTTGCAAAGTAAATCCTCAACAATTTATTACTGTGTTTCTATTTCCAAAAAAACATTCAAATTTGTTTCTTTGACTTTTACACGACATTACAACCTTAAGTCACAGAAACAATCCTCCTCAAGCAACCTTGGGATATTGTCTTTTTTCAAGGGGAAGAACGTGGTAGTTACGTGTTTGTTTCTTAGGGCCTTTAAACCTTTTTTAATCCAAGACATTTTTTGGCTAATAACCCACATGTTTAGCTGCTAGACTAAATCACCCCTCTATAAGAATCATACTGACTTACTACTAAAATGAGATTCACTTTCAAGGGAACTCAACGCTGCGTATAGCGCTGCGGCGGGAACGCCCCTGCGTGATTGCGTCATGAAGCACTCGTGAAATCAGTCCAATGGCGTGACGGGACGTCCTAGGCGGGTGACGTCATTGACCAGGAACCTATAAAGCACCCCTGGACCGAACAAACACTAGCTTCTGTGTCTTCACAAGCGCTCTATGAGAAATCGTATCTGTCTATTTGATGTGTGTTTGTCTCTCTATATATTATGGAAAAGCAGCAATTTAAGCAGTGTGTCACTCCCTGTCCTCGTTTCATCACGGGTGGGGATACACACGAGCTTTGTGTGATGTGTTTGGGATTGGAGCATGCCCAGTCAGCTCTTGAGGGAGTTGGCTGTGAGCATTGTGAGAAGCTGGCAATGAAAACTCTCCGGTCCCGCCGAGCACTCTTCGAGGAGGGTGCTTCGGTTCGCGTTCCCCAGGGCTCGGGTCCCGCTGCTGCTGAGGCACGGCGAAGACGCTCGTCCTGGGGTTCGCAAATGGATTTAACGGCGGGGTTAGAGACGGGTGATCCCCTATCTCTTCCCTTAACCGTTGAATCCGACGCTTCAGTTCACGAGTCAGAAGCACGCGCTGCGGTTTCTTCTGCTCGCGCTGAAGCGCAAGTGCAGCAGCACTCCAGTTCCGAGGAACTGGATGTTGTGAGCTTGGGAGATGAGGATTTTGCATCACACACAGTCACACACACACAAGAGGAGCTTTTGGAGGTTGTCACTCGCGCTGTTGCTAGATTAAATATTGACTGGCCAGCCGGTGAACAGGAGTCATGTCGATCAAAGAGTAAATTAGATGAACGATTTTTGCCATCTAGATCGCAACCTCCAAAGCGGGGCTTACCGTTCTTTCCTGACCTCCATACTGAGGTATCGAGGTCATGGATTAGACCGGCATCATTCAGAGTTTTTAACCCAGCGACATCTGAATATTCGAATATAGTAGGGTTAAAGAAACATGGTTATGCGGCGATGCCTCAGGTGGAAGAGACGCTTGCGAGCTATCTCTCCCCCGAGTCTGCATTGTCGCTGAAAGCCCCGCAGCTGCCCACTAAACCAGTAAGAACAACATCGGTTTTAGTGGGTAGGGCATATTCGGCAGCAGGTCAGGCGGCTGCCAGTTTACATACTATGGCGGTCCTACAGGCATATCAGGCTGACTTATTAAAAGACATAGACGATGAATGTGAGGAAGTGGGGAGAGATACAATAGCGGAGGTCAGGAAGGCAGCTGATCTATCTCTTCGGGCCACCAGGGAAGCGGCAAAATTTATCGGCCGCTCTATGGCAGCTCTGGTGGCCACGGAGAGGCATCTCTGGCTAAATCTCTCTGACATTAAAGAGAGAGATAAAAGATTTTTGTTAGATGCTCCTGTCTCCTCTACCGGTCTTTTTGGCGATTCAGTAAATTCGGTCGTCGAAAGATTTCAAGAAGCGAAAAAGCAGGCAGCTGCATTTCAAAAGTTTCTTCCCCGTAAGGTCTATGTCTCTGGGGCTGCTGGGCGGGAGCAGCCCCAGCCGAGTATGTCCTCCTCTCATAGAGCCCAGCAAAAGGTGAGCGTGGCTGTCCGTGCCCCCCCACAGAGAGACTGGGGGTCGGGACAACGCGCTCAGCCAAGGTCTTCCCGAGGTAGAGCAGATCTGAGGACTGTGATTATCTCCAGGAAGGCTTTGGCGAAGAAG